CGAAGCGCTGCATGTCGTAGAGCGAGGCCCGGGCCACCGAGGAGACGGGCGAGAGCTGGCCACGCTCGTACGTGTACGCCTCTCCCACGGTGCTGGCCGCGGCGGCCGTGCGGCGCAGGGGGCTCCTGTCCCGGGTGTAATAGGTGGAGGAGGCGGCCGCCGCGGCGGCGGTGGCGGCGGCGGCGACGGCGGCCGCCGCGCCCGGGGTCGGCAGCAGCGCTCGGTCGTACGCGTCGAGGGCGGCGGGGAGGCGGCCGGCCATGGCCGTGGTGGCGGCCATGGCCGAGGACTGGACCTGGGAGTACTGGGCGTACTGGGAGTACTGGGCCATGGTCTGCTCCGCGTAGGCGTCGTACGCGGAGGCCGTGGCGTAGGAGCGGACGCGGTAGCGCTTGTAGTAGTCGGCCATCCCGCCGTAGGCCTCATCGTAATACACGGTCTCCCCATAGCCCGCGGCGTAGGGAGCGCGCACGGCTCCGTACTGCTCGTTATAGGCCTCGGCAAAGTCCGCCACTTGCCCCGGGCGATCGACGGGGCACTCCTTAGACCAGTGCCCCTCCTTCCCGCAGCGGTAGCAGCCGCTCTTGTCTCCCATCCCGGGCGCCGTCCGCAGCCGGCTGGTGGACAGCTGCACGCGCATCCGCTTGCCTTGGGGAGAGGGGAGACCCGACGTCACCCGCCGGCGCCGCGACGCGGGGTCCCCGGGGCTGCCACGGGCACCGGCACCACACCCAGGGTGCCTCAGAGCTGCCACAGGCACCAGCACCATGCCCAGGGTCCCCCAGAGCTGCCACGGGCACCGGCACCGTGCCCAGGGTGCCTCAGAGCTGCCACGGGCACCGGCACCGTGCTACAGTGACCCCCAGCAGTGGCATCGTGGGGTCCTGCAGAGCTGTCCCTGGCACTGCCCCGTGGGACCCCCAGAGCCGCCCCGGCACCGAGGAACTGGGGGCAGCTGCAGGTTGAGCTCTGAGTGGGATCCCCAGGAAGAGACACAACAAAGAGCCTGGGGACACGTGGCCCAGCCAGGGGAGGGACAAGTGGCCCAGCCAGGGGAGGGACAAGTGGCCCAGCCAGGGGAGGGACACTTGGGGACACGGCAGGAGGTGACAACCCCCGGACATTCCCGTGCACACACTGGGGGGGGGGGTTCCTCTGCTCAGGGTCCCTCCTCAGAGACGCCCCCTCCAGCTGCGATTTTGCCGTTTCATTGCTGCACCAAGATTAAATTATTTTAAAGGTCGGGACGTCTGAGGCCCCCGAGAGCCGCCCCCAGCGCTGGCACTGTGCCAAGGGACCCCCGAGAGCCAGCACCGGGCCATGGGGTCCCTGAGACCCGACCCTGGCACTGTGAGACCCCCAGAGCCCCCCAGAGCCAGCCCTGGCACCGCTGAGGGCGGGGAGGAACAGGACCCGCCTGGGTGGGCACCACCACCAGCAGCAGCAGGGGGTCTCCGTGGTCCTGAGCAGGAGTTGGGGGGCAGAGGAGCCGCCCTGGCAGGGTCTGGGCAGCATCCAGCTGTGACTCCCGGCCTCGTTTACCGTTATCACCCTGTTTCCCCCCGAATTCCGGCCGCAGAGGGACACCGCTGGTCCCACGAGGAGGCCCCAGGGGCAGAACCTGCCCCAAACCCGCTGGTTTTGGGGCAAACGCTGCAGAATTCCTCACAAACCCGGCGCTGCGCAGCCGCTCTGCCCCGGCACGGAGCCACCGCGGCACCACCGGCCCTGGGCACGGCCCGGGCCGCGGAACCGACACCGGCCGAGGGACACGGGGAGGGGACACGGCCCCACCAGTCCCCACTGAGCCAAGAAGACCACAAGAGGCACCAAACGGCCCGGTACAGGACGTCGGCAGCTGCGGCTCCGAGATGAGCTTTGGTGACACCCGGATCCGGCCGAAACCCCCCGGGAGCGGCACCTCCCCCCCCCCCCTGCCCGGCCTCGCGCTCCCCGAGCTCACCCTGGAACTCGGTGTTGTCCAGCCCCCGGATGGCCTCCACCGCGTCCTCCGCCCGCTCCATGTGCACGAAGGCGTAGTCCTTGACGATGTCGCACTCGATGACGGGGCCGTACTCCTCGAACTTGGCGCGCAGCTCCAGGTTGGTGCAGGCGGGGCTGATGTTGCCCACGTGCAGCTTGGTGGAGGCCTTGCTCTTGTTCTTGCTGGCCTCCACGTTGATGCAGACGCCGTGCAGCTTGTGGTGGTGCAGGTTGCGGATGGCGTCCTCGGCCGCCGTCTTGTCCTCGATGTGCACGAAGCCGTAGTTCTTGATGATGTCGCACTCCAGCACCTTCCCGTACTGCTCGAACAGGGAGCGGATCTCCTGCTCCGTCGCCTCCCGCGGCAGGTTCCCGATGAACAGCTTCACCATCGCGACCCGCCTGCGGCGCAGGGTGGGGGGAGAGCGGCGGCCGGTGAGACCCCCCGAGCGCCCCCAGCTCCGCAGGGAGGGGCTGGAGCAAAGCCCCCAGACCACCCCCAGCTCCACGGACGCGGCTCGGTGAGACCCTCAGAGCACCCTCGGCCCCACAGAGAGGGGCTGGAGAGAAGCCCCCTCACTCCAGGGAAGGGGCAGCTGAGGGAGACCCCCGGAGCACTCCCAGGTTTGCAGAGAGGGACTGGAATGAACCTCCCATCCCGGGGAAAGGGCGGGTCAGTGAGACCCCCCCAGGGCACCCCCGGCCGCGGGGACTCGTCCTGCCCCCCATCCCCCGTCCCGTTCCCCTCCACAGACTGCGAGGCCTCGACCCGGCCCCGGCGCTCCCCCATCCCGCTCCCGGTGCCCCCCCGGCCCCTCCCCGTCCTCTCCCGGCGCCCTCCCCTCTCTCACCGCGTCCCCCCCTCGCTCCGGGACTCGGTGGCGGCACCGGCGACAAAATGGCGGCGACCGCCTCACGCGGGGCCCCGCCTCCCGCGCGCGCTGATTGGCCCGGACCGGCGGGACGGCGCCGCGCGATTGGCCGAGGCACAGAGAGGCCCCGCCCAGCTCCGGGCACGACGGCGTCACACACAAAACGCTCCCGTTTGAGAGGCGGCGCGCCGGAAGTGAGGCTTAGAGGCGGGGCCTCGGGGAGGGCGTAGCGGCAGCGTCAGCCAATCGGAGCGCGGGGGGGAGGCGGGGTCTGGAGGCGCCACGGGGACCGGAGGGGCCGGGCGGGAACGACCGGGACAGAGCGGGATCGAGAGGGATCGAGCAGCACCGGGACAGGGACCGGGACAGGGATCGACCGGGAACGACCCGCACCGGGACCGACAAGGATCCACCAGGAGAGGGATCGGTACCGACAGGGACAGGGTTGGGCCCCGCCCCATCAGTGTCTGCCCTGCCCCTCCCGCTTTGAACCCTCAATTGGCCCCGCCCTTTTCTTTCGACCCCGCCCATTCTCAACGTAGCCCCGCCCTCTCCACTTAGCCCCGCCCCCGATGTCCCACGCGGTGCTGCTGCTGCGGCGGCTGCGAGGCCGGGACCGGGACCGGGACCGGGATCGGGATCGGGATCAGAACTGGCAGCGGGATCAGGGCCAGGACCATGACCGGGATCCAGATCAGAACCGGGAGCAGGATTGGGGCCAGAACCGGGATCGGGACCAGGACTGGGATCGGGACCAGGACTGGCACCAGGACCAGCACCGGGATTGGGATCAGGACTGGCATCAGGACCAGCACCGAGACCAACCCCAGGTCCAGCAGCAGGACTGGGATCAGAACCAGCCCCATGACCGGGACCAGCACCGGGACCGCGACCATCACCAGAACCAGCACCGGGGGCAGGAGCACGACCCTCACCCCGCTCCCTCCTCGCCGACCGGGGGGTCCCTCCCCGCCCCGTCTCCGATCCGCTCCCCCCGGCGCTGCCGCCGCCGCCGCCGCCGCCCGTACCCGGCGCAGCGGGTGTACCGGGCGCGCTGCTCCTTCCTGGAGCTGAGCGAGGAGCAGGCGCTGCGGCGCTGCCGCCTGGACCGCGCGGCCATCGCGGCGCTGTGCCGGGAGCTGGGCTCGGACCTGCAGAGCCTCACGGGCCGCAGCCACGCGCTGCCCGTGGCCGTCAAGGTCACGTCGGCGCTCGCCTTCCTGGCCTCGGGCTCCTTCCAGACGGCGTCGCGCCTCAGCACGGGCATCAGCCAGTCGGCCATGTCCAACTGCCTGGCGCAGTTCCTGGCGGCCCTGCAGCGCCGGGCCCCGCGGTTCATCGCCTTCCCGCCCGCCCCGGCGCCCGCCGCGGACCCGCCGGCGCTGCCCGGGGTGCTGGGGCTGGTGGGCGCCATGCACGTGGCGCTGCGGGCGCCGGCCGAGGACGAGCCGCTCTTCCGCAACGCCGGCAACTTCCACTCCATCAACATGCAGGTGGTCTGCGACCGCGCCGGCGCCATCACCAACGTCGTGGCCAAGTTCCCGGGGTCGTGCCCCAACGCCGCCGTCCTGGAGAACTCGGCGCTGGCCCGGCTCATGGAGGGGGCGCGGCCCGAGGGGGTCTGGCTGCTGGGTGAGGGGGGGTTCTGGGGGTCCCGGAGGGGTCCTGGGGGGGGGGGGGCCCCGGGGGGGGGGGGGGCCCGGGGGATTCACCCTCGGGCGGAGGGGGCCCCCCGAGGCCTGGGGGTGG